AGGATGGCCGAGCGGTCTAAGGCGCTGCGTTTAGGTCGCAGTCTCCCCTGGAGGCGTGGGTTCGAATCCCACTTCTGACAGTGTTTAAGCAAACCTAATGAAGTGCCTCAATTCGGGCCAATTTTTATTACATTGTGATTCGAAAGGGATCTAAAGAGTGTCTTCCTGTGTCAATCTCACATTGACCAGATATTCCGCAAGAGGTGGCCGAATTACGGCCAGTTTTCACATTACAATTGCGACTTGGCTGTGGTAAAGAGTGTGTCTTCCTGTGTCAATCTCACATTGACCAGATATTCCGCAAGAGGTGGCCGAATTATGGCCAGTTTTCACATTACAACTGCGACTTGGCTGCGTTAAAGAGTGTGTCTTCCTGTGGCAATCTCACATTGACCAGATATTCCGCAAGAGGTGGCCAAATTACACATTACAACTGCGACTTGGCTGCGTTCAGATTGCAGTCTCCATTGGAGGACTTGGTTCGAATCCCACTTCTGACAGAGGTTTTGAGTAAACCTAATAAAGTGCCTCAATTCGGGCCACTATTTTTACATTGTGATTCCAATTCCCGGCCACATTGTGACGGAAGCTGCATTGGCCGGCCTCCCTCGGTACTGGAATGTTCAATGCACTTGTGTTCCTCGTTAGTATAGTGGTCAGTATCCCCGCCTATCACGCGGGAGACCGGGGTTCAATTCCCCGACAGGGAGTAGAGGGTTTTTACTGACACTCCCCAACACAATCAATGGCACATTATACTTGGACAACACGGCATCTGTGCAGAAGAATCCACTGATGTTTTAATTCAAGCCAACGATCAACTCTGGTGAACGTGTCAATTCCATGTCAGGATGGCCGAGCGGTCTAAGGCGCTGCGTTCAGGTCGCAGTCTCCCCTGGAGGCGTGGGTTCTAATCCCACTTCTGACAGTTTTTGAGTAAACCTAATGAAGCGCCTCAATACGGGCCACTATTTTTACATTGTGATTCGAAGGGGATATAGAGAGTGAGTTGTCCTGTGTCAATCTCACGTTTAGACTTGTGCGACTCACATTGACCAGATATTCCGCAAGAGGTGGCCAAATTACGGCCAATTTTCACATTAAAATTGCGACTTGGCTGCGTTCCGATCGCAGTCTCCCTTGGAGGACTTGGTTCGAATCCCACTTGTGACAGAGGTTTTGAGTAAACCTAATGAAGTGCCTCAATTCGGGCCTATTTTTACATTGTGATTCCAATTCCCGGCCACATTGTGACGGAAGCTGCATTGGCCGGCCTCCCTCGGTACAGAAGAGAATTCTACCACTAAGTGTGCTAAAGTGTATGCTGCATTGGCCGGGAATCGAACCCGGGCCTCCCCGTGGCAGGCGAGAATTCTACCACTGAACCACCAATGCCTGTTTCTACAGGTGTTTTGGATCCCGTCATGTCTCAACCTCATATTTAAAATTGTAGGACTGAAAGTATTTGCTCATGACGAGGAATGCTCAATTAGTTTGTGTTCCTCGTTAGTATAGTGGTCAGTATCCCCGCCTGTCACGCGGGAGACCGGGTTCAATTCCCCGACGGGGAGAAGAGGGAGTTTTGCTGACACTCCCCAACACAATCAATGGCACATTATACTTGGACAACACGGCATCTGTGCAGAAGAAGCCACTGATGTTTTAATTCAAGCCATTGATCAACTCTGGTGAACGTGTAAATTTCATGTCAGGATGTCCGAGCGGTCTAAGGCGCTGCGTTCAGGTCGCAGTCTCCCCTGGAGGCGTGGGTTCGAATCCCACTTCTGACAGTTTTTGAGTAAACCTAATGAAGCGCCTCAATTCGGGCCACTATTTTTACATTGTGATTCGAAGGGGATATAGAGAGTGAGTTGTCCTGTGTCAATCTCACGTTTAGACTTGTGCGACTCACATTGACCAGATATTCCGCAAGAGGTGGCCAAATTACGGCCAATTTTCACATTAAAATTGCGACTTGGCTGCGTTCCGATCGCAGTCTCCCTTGGAGGACTTGGTTCGAATCCCACTTGTGACAGAGGTTTTGAGTAAACCTAATGAAGTGCCTCAATTCGGGCCACTATTTTTACATTGTGATTCCAATTCCCGGCCACATTGTGACGGAAGCTGCATTGGCCGGCCTCCCTCGGTACAGAAGAGAATTCTACCACTAAGTGTGCTAAAGTGTATGCTGCATTGGCCGGGAATCGAACCCGGGCCTCCCGCGTGGCAGGCGAGAATTCTACCACTGAACCACCAATGCCTGTTTCTACAGGTGTTTTGGATCCCGTCATGTCTCAACCTCATATTTAAAATTGTAGGACTGAAAGTATTTGCTCATGACGAGGAATGCTCAATTAGTTTGTGTTCCTCGTTAGTATAGTGGTCAGTATCCCCGCCTGTCACGCGGGAGACCGGGGTTCAATTCCCCGACGGGGAGAAGAGGGAGTTTGCTGACACTCCCCAACACAATCAATGGCACATTATACTTGGACAACGCGGCGTCTGTGCAGAAGAAGCCACTGATGTTTTTATTGGTTTTAATTCAAGCCAACGGTCAACTCTGGTAAAGGTGCAAATTCCATGTCAGGATGGCCGAGCGGTCTAAGGCGCTGCGTTTAGGTCGCAGTCTCCCCTGGAGGCGTGGGTTCGAATCCCACTTCTGACAGTGTTTAAGCAAACCTAATGAAGTGCCTCAATTCGGGCCAATTTTATTACATTGTGATTCGGAAAGGGATCTAAAGTGTGTCTTCCTGTGTCAATCTCACATTGACCGGATATTCCCGCAAGAGGTTGGCCGAATTACGGCCAGTTTTTCACATTTACAATTGCGACTTGGCTGTGGTAAAGAGTGTGTCTTCCTGTGTCAATCTCACATTGACCAGATATTCCGCAAGAGGTGGCCAAATTGACGGCCAATTTTTCACATTAAAACTGCGACTTGGCTGCGTCGATCGCAGTCTCCCTTGGAGGACTTGGGTTCGAATCCCACTTGTGACAGGAGGTTTGTGGATAAACCTAATGAAGTGCCCTCAATTCGGTCGGGCCAATTTTTTTACATTGTGATTCGGAAGGGATCTAAATAGCGTCTTCCTGTGTCAATCTCACATTGACCAGATATTCCGCAAGAGGGTGCCGAATTATGGCCAGTTTCACATTACAACTGCGACTTGGGCTGCGTTAAAGAGTGTGTCTTCCGGTGGGCAATCTCACATTGACCAGATATTCCGCAAGAGGTGGCCAAATTACACATTACAACTGCGGACCTTGGCTGCGTTCAGATTGCAGTCTCCATTGGTGGACCTTGGTTCGAATCCCACTTCTGACAGAGGTTTTGAGTAAACCTAATGAAGTGCCTCAATTCGGGGCCACTATTTTTACATTGTGATTCCATTCCCCCGGCCACATTGTGACGGAAGCTGCATTGGCCGGCCTCCCTCGGTACTGGAATGGTTCAAGGCACTTGTGTTCCTCGTTAGTATAGTGGTCAGTATCCCCGCCTATCACGCGGGGAGACCGGGGTTCAATTCCCCGACAGGGAGTAGAGGGTTGTTTACTGACACTCCCCCAACACAATCAATGGCACATTATACTTGGGACAACACGGCATCTGTGCAGAAGAATCCACTGATGTTTTTAATTCACAAGCCAACGATCAACTCTGGTGAATCGTGTAAATTCCATGTCAGGATGGGGCCGAGGCGGTCTAAGGCGCTGGCTTCAGGTCGGCAGTCTCCTCCCCTGGAGGCGTGGGCTAATCCACATTCTGAACAGATTTTTGAGTAAACCTTAATGAAGCGGCCTCAATACGGGCCCACTATTTTTACATTGTGATTCGAAGGGGATATAGAGAGTTGGTTTGTCCTGTGTCCATCTCACGTTTAGACTTGTGCGGACTCACCTTGACCAGAATATTACGCAAGAGGTGGTCGAATTATGGCCAGTTTTCACATACACCACCTCATAATTCGATCAAACAACAGGGGCCTCTATTGGCCGGCCATCCAGCGGTCTAAAGCGCTGCATTCAGGTAGGCAGTCTCCCCTGGAGGCGTGGGTTCGAATCCCACTTCTGACAGTGTTTGAGCAAACCTAATAAACTGCCTCAATTCGGGCAATTTTTTTACATTGTGATTCGGAAGGGATCTAAAGAGTGTCTTCCTGTGTCAATCTCACATTGCCCAGATATTCCGCAAGAGGTGGCCGAATTACGGCCAGTTTTCACATTACAATTGCGACTTGGCTGTGGTAAAGAGTGTGTCTTCCTGTGTCAATCTCACATTGACCAGATATTCCGCAAGAGGTGGCCAAATTACGGCCAATTTTCACATTACAACCTGCGACTTGGCTGCGTTCCGATCGCAGTCTCCCTTGGAGGACTTGGTTCGAATCCCACTTGTGACAGAGGTTTTGAGTTAAACCTAATGAAGTGCCTCAATTCGGGCCAATTTTTTTACATTGTGATTCGGAAGGGATCTAAATAGCGTCTTCCTGTGTCAATCTCACATTGACCAGATATTCCGCAAGAGGTGGCCGAATTATGGCCAGTTTTCACATTACAACTGCGACTTGGCTGCGTTAAAGAGTGTGTCTTCCTGTGGCAATCTCACATTGACCAGATATTCCGCAAGAGGTGGCCAAATTACACATTACAACTGCGACTTGGCCTGCGTTCAGATTGCAGTCTCCATTGGAGGACTTGGTTCGAATCCCACTTCTGACAGAGGTTTTGAGTAAACCTAATGAAGTGCCTCAATTCGGGCCACTATTTTTACATTTGTGATTCCAATTCCGGCCACATTGTGACGGAAGCTGCATTGGCCGGCCTCCCTCGGTACTGGAATGTTCAATGCACTTGTGTTCCTCGTTAGTATAGTGGTCAGTATCCCCGCCTGTCACGCGGGACACCGGGTTCAATTCCCCGACGGGGAGGAGAGGGTTTTTACTGACACTCCCCAACACAATCAATGGCACATTATACTTGGACAACACGGCATCTGTGCAGAAGAATCCACTGATGTTTTAATTCAAGCCAACGATCAACTCTGGGTGAACGTGTCAATTCCATGTCAGGATGGCCGAGCGGTCTAAGGCGCTGCGTTCAGGTCGCAGTCTCCCCTGGAGGCGTGGGTTCTAATCCCACTTCTGACAGTTTTTGAGTAAACCTAATGAAGCGCCTCAATACGGGCCACTATTTTTACATTGTGATTCGAAGGGATATAGAGAGTGAGTTGTCCTGTGTCAATCTCACGTTTTAGACTTGTGCGACTCACATTGACCAGATATTACGCAAGAGGTGGTTGAATTATGGCCAGTTTTCACATTACACCTCTTAATCGATCAAACAACTGGGCTCAATTGGCCGGCCATCAGCGGTCTAAAGCGCTGCATTCAGGTAGCAGTCTCCCCTGGAGGCGTGGGTTCGAATCCCACTTCTGACAGTGTTTGAGAAAACCTAATAAACTGCCTCAATTCGGGCCAATTTTTTTTACATTGTGATTCGGAAGGGATCTAAAGAGTGTCTTCCTGTGTCAATCTCACATTGCCCCAGATATTCCGCAAGAGGTGGCCGAATTACGGCCAGTTTTCACATTACAATTGCGACTTGGCTGTGGTAAAGAGTGTGTCTTCCTGTGTCAATCTCACATTGACCAGTTTTTTCTACAAGAGGTGGCCAAATTACGGCCAATTTTCACATTACAACTGCGACTTGGCTGCGTTCAGATCACAGTTGGTTTCGAATCCCACTTCTGACAGATGTTTTGAGTAAAACCTAATGATGTGCCTCAATTCGGGCCTCTATTTTTACATTGTGATTTCGACTCCCGGCCACAATGTGACGGAAGCTGCATTCGCCGGGGAATCGGAACCGGCCACCCTCACTACAGAAGAGAACTCTACCACTAAGTGTGCTAAAGCAGATGCTGCAATTGGCCGGGAAATCGAACCCGGCCTCCCGCGTGGCAGGCGAGAATTCTACCACTGAACCACCATTGGCCTGTTTCTACAGGTGTTTTTGGATCCCGTCATGTCTCCGAACCTCAATATTTAAAATTGTAGGACTGAAAGTATTTGCTCATAACGAGGAATGCTCAATTTGTTTGGTGTTCCTCGTTAGTATAGTGGTCAGTATCCCCCGCCGTGTCACGCGGGGAGAGCCGGGGTTCAATTCCCCGACGGGGAGAAGGAGGGATTTTGCTGACACTCCCCAACACAATCAATGGCACATTACACTTGGACAAACACGGCATCTGTGCAGAAGAAGCCACTGATGTTTTAATTCAAGCCAACGATCAACTCTGGTGAACTTGTAAATTCCATGTCAGGATGGCCGAGCGGTCTAAGGCGCTGCGTTCAGGTCGCAGTCTCCCCTGGAGGGCGTGGGTTCGAATCCCACTTCTGACAGTTTTTGAGTAAACCTAATGAAGCGCCTCAATTCGGGCCACTATTTTTACATTGTGATTCGAAGGGGATATAGAGAGTGAGTTGTCCTGTGTCAATCTCACGTTTAGACTTGTGCGACTCACATTGACCAGATATTCCGCAAGAGGTGGCCAAATTACGGCCAATTTTCACATTAAAATTGCGACTTGGCTGCGTTCCGATCGCAGTCTCCCTTGGAGGACTTGGTTCGAATCCCACTTGTGACAGAGGTTTTGAGTAAACCTAATGAAGTGCCTCAATTCGGGCCACTATTTTTACATTGTGATTCCAATTCCCGGCCACATTGTGACGGAAGCTGCATTGGCCGGCCTCCCTCGGTACAGAAGAGAATTCTACCACTAAGTGTGCTAAAGTGTATGCTGCATTGGCCGGGAATCGAACCCGGGCCTCCCGCGTGGCAGGCGAGAATTCTACCACTGAACCACCAATGCCTGTTTCTACAGGTGTTTTGGATCCCGTCATGTCTCAACCTCATATTTAAAATTGTAGGACTGAAAGTATTTGCTCATGACGAGGAATGCTCAATTAGTTTGTGTTCCTCGTTAGTATAGTGGTCAGTATCCCCGCCTGTCACGCGGGAGACCGGGGTTCAATTCCCCGACGGGGAGAAGAGGGAGTTTGCTGACACTCCCCAACACAATCAATGGCACATTATACTTGGACAACGCGGCGTCTGTGCAGAAGAAGCCACTGATGTTTTTATTGGTTTTAATTCAAGCCAACGGTCAACACTGGTAAAGGTGCAAATTCCATGTCAGGATGGCCGAGCGGTCTAAGGCGCTTGCGTTTAGGTCGCAGTCTCCCCTGGAGGCGTGGGTTCGAATCCCACTTCTGACAGTGTTTAAGCAAACCTAATGAAGTGCCTCAATTCCGGCCAATTTTATTACATTGTGATTCGAAAGGGATCTAAAGAGTGTCTTCCTGTGTCGAATCTCACATTGACCAGATATTCCGCAAGAGGTGGCCGAATTACGGCCAGTTTTTCACATTACAATTGCGACTTGGCTGTGGTAAAGAGTGTGTCTTCCTGTGTCAATCTCACATTGACCAGATATTCCGCAAGAGGTGGCCAAATTACGGCCAATTTTCACATTAAAACTGCGACTTGGCTGCGTTTCCGATCGCAGTCTCCCTTGGAGGACTTGGTTCGAATCCCACTTGTGACAGAGGTTTTGAGTAAACCTAATGAAGTGCCTCAATTCGGGCCAATTTTTTTACATTGTGATTCGGAAGGGATCTAAATAGCGTCTTCCTGTGTCAATCTCACATTGACCAGATATTCCGCAAGAGGTGGCCGAATTATGGCCAGTTTTCACATTACAACTGCGACTTGGCTGCGTTAAAGAGTGTGTCTTCCTGTGGCAATCTCACATTGACCAGATATTCCGCAAGAGGTGGCCAAATTACACATTACAACTGCGACTTGGCTGCGTTCAGATTGCAGTCTCCATTGGAGGACTTGGTTCGAATCCCACTTCTGACAGAGGTTTTGAGTAAACCTAATGAAGTGCCTCAATTCGGGCCACTATTTTACATTGTGATTCCAATTCCCGGCCCACATTGTGACGAAGCTGCATTGGCCGGCCTCCCTCGGTACTGGAATGTTCAATGCACTTGTGTTCCTCGTTAGTATAGTGGTCAGTATCCCCCGCCTATCACGCGGGAGACCGGGGTTCAATTCCCCGACAGGGAGTAGAGGGTTTTTACTGACACTCCCCAACACAATCAATGGCACATTATACTTGGACAACACGGCATCTGTGCAGAAGAATCCACTGATGTTTTAATTCAAGCCAACGATCAACTCTGGTGAACGTGTAAATTCCATGTCAGGATGGCCGAGCGGTCTAAGGCGCTGCGTTCAGGTCGCAGTCTCCCCTGGAGGCGTGGGTTCTAATCCCACTTCTGACAGTTTTTGAGTAAACCTAATGAAGCGCCTCAATACGGGCCACTATTTTTACATTGTGATTCGAAGGGGATATAGAGAGTGAGTTGTCCTGTGTCAATCTCACGTTTAGACTTGTGCGACTCACATTGACCAGATATTACGCAAGAGGTGGTTGAATTATGGCCAGTTTTCACATTACACCTCTTAATCGATCAAACAACTGGGCTCAATTGGCCGGCCATCAGCGGTCTAAAGTGCTGCATTCAGGTAGCAGTCTCCCCTGGAGGCGTGGGTTCGAATCCCACTTCTGACAGTGTTTGAGAAAACCTAATAAACTGCCTCAATTCGGGCCAATTTTTTTACATTGTGATTCGGAAGGGATCTAAAGAGTGTCTTCCTGTGTCAATCTCACATTGCCCAGATATTCCGCAAGAGGTGGCCGAATTACGGCCAGTTTTCACATTACAATTGCGACTTGGCTGTGGTAAAGAGTGTGTCTTCCTGTGTCAATCTCACATTGACCAGTTTTTTCTACAAGAGGTGGCCAAATTACGGCCAATTTTCACATTACAACTGCGACTTGGCTGCGTTCAGATCACAGTTGGTTCGAATCCCACTTCTGACAGATGTTTTGAGTAAACCTAATGATGTGCCTCAATTCGGGCCTCTATTTTTACATTGTGATTTCGACTCCCGGCCACAATGTGACGGAAGCTGCATTCGCCGGGGAATCGGAACCGGCC